AGAGAAGTAGAGGAACAGGCGTGGGGAATTCTTCATTCCCTGTTGAGCTAAAGCCTTATGCCTAGCACCTTTGTTCATCTGGCATCTGTGTGAAGTTTTCAGTTGTGTTCACAACATCCACGTCATTGTCATCATGCTCGCCACCATTTCTGCAATTTTTCCATCACTCTAGATGTGGACAGTTGTGTTAGTGCTCAGCACTCCTATGCCAACTTCTAATTTATTTACATTTGGATGGTTAAGTTTTATTGTCATCCCTGAGATTTGGAAGGACCTTATTGTTACTACTGATGAAACCTTCAAAGTCTTCATCTTCAGCTTCTTTTCCAAATATCTCTACAGTCCAAAGCCTGTGCCAAGCATTTGTGAGTGTTGATGAACCAGCAGCTTTACAAGCATTAGCTACTGCAGAAATGGAATTCTTAATTCTTTGAGCATGTCTGACATTCCCAGAGCCTCTGTTAACTGCAGCTAAAGGCAGAGGGAGAGAGAGAGAGAGAGAGAGAGAGAGAGAGAGAGAGAGAGAGAGAGAGAGAAGGAGTGAGAGAGAAATTTTTGCTTGCCTTCCATAGAGTAAAATTGCTTGGCACATAAAGTTATATTACAGATCTAACACTGAAGGGGAAACTAAATGCTGAAACATTATTTTACCCCCAAACTTTTCAGGAGAAGGATGAATGAAAGAGAGTGGTGGGGAACAATGAAACTAGTTTTCTCCAGTTCAGGTTGCCTGCACTGGTCTCCAGCCATGGGTACATAGTGAGTATCGAATCTGTCCACAGGTTTTTATCTGCTCCTTTGCTTTCTTGATTGCATAACAATGACAGATAGGTTTCAGACACTTAAATGTCAGAATGTTGGTGCTTCTCCATCACTGTAACATGACTCCCATAGAACCCTGACATCTCAGAGAAGTCACCCAGGGCTCCGAGTCCTGAAAGCCTGTTGGGTTCTCTCTGCAGCCATCACTGTGATTTTAGGAGCACAGCACTGATGTAGAGCAGTTTCATCAGCATTAGAAAATTTGTTCAGGATTAAGTTTTTCTCAGGTAAGAGGATAGCAGATTTATACATGTAGTTCTCAGCTGCTTCATGATTAACAGAAATCTTTCAGCATTGATTTTCAAATATTTTATGCCATAGCACTTGTTAAGTTTCTGCAGTAAACTTTCTGAATATTGATACTCACTTTCAGTGTTCATGTGGGCTAGCTGCTAGCTACTCCATGTTTCACTATGGTCAAATAGATCAGTAACACACATTCACTTTATTGTTTTAAACTCTAATAAACCCCAAATTAATATATTAATATTTTTCCCAGTACAATGTTTCACTCAATTTTCTTTAGGTTTTGATTATTATTATTATTTTTAAAATTAATTTTATTGGTACATTTTAGGTATACAATATAATGACATTCATCATTGGAAATTTGTGCCTTTACATAATCCATCTTGGCTCTTATTTTTTGCACATTCCCCCACCCTCCCTTAAACCCCTTCATTCCTCCCTATTTACAAAGACTTTGTTTCCATTTTTTCCATATTAATTCCATTCCCTTCTTTCTTTTCCCCTACCCCTCCCAATTCCCCTTCCCCTTTGCCCCTTTTCTTCCTATTTCACATTATCTATTATATCTTTTAGTCCTTATTTACACTTTTAGTTTCTCACACTAGAGAAACTATTTGGTATTTACACATGTGTGTCCTATTTATTTCACTTAAGAGTATTGCCTCAATGTGCATCCATTTAGCTATAAATGTCTCTAGTTTCTCATTTGTGTTTTTAACAGACATTTCAACTCTTCACTTGACTCCATTGTTCTTAAGTGCTCTTGAGTGCTGAATATGGAAGAATGATGCTGAGGAAAGAGAACACTAGATCTGCCCATGATCAGTTATATGCTGAAATATGTCATGTGATTCAATCCTCTTGCTAATTGTCAAAACAAGGATTAGAATTTCCATTTCACCACTGAAGAAATAAATGCATAATCAACTTGCCCAAGTTGCACAGAAAAATGAAGTATCTAAGTCAGTGTTCTTTAAAATCCTGTCGGTCTAACTTCAAACTTGAACTTAGCAGGAATTCTTACAAATGTCTACACCAGATGATCCTGCCAACTCTTAATTTCCAGATTTGTCAAATGAAGGCGTTGCTCATAATCCTTCATCCATAATTCCAGAATCAAAAAACCCTGAAAATTAAGTGCTAATGTGTAAGTTTAGTACCAAAACTCATTTGACAGCAATACAAGACCCAACCTGACAGTCAGTGCTAATTTTGTCTCATTACTTTTCCCACCCACATGTGGCTCTGCTGTTAGCTGATATTTTTGCTGCATTGTGAAGCTTTTTCAGCTTTTAATTGCACCCTGAAAATGTCAAATAAAAAATCAAGGTGCCCTCTGAATAATAGAGACAGTAAGAGAAAGAAGTATTATTTTTATGAATAGCATACAAAGCGGAGTTGTTGAAGAAGTAATGGTGTGTCTGTAAGACTGTCTTACCACAGAATACTATGTGGAAACCTCTACCATATACCATTTAGTAAAACTAAAAGACAATTTGTTCTTTTACAGTAACAATAATAATCAAAACCTGAGGGCTGGGGATTTAGCTCAATGGTTCCGGCACCTACTCGCAAGCACACGGTCCCAAGTTTGATCCCTGGTACCAAAAAAAAAAAAGTCCTGAGCGCTGATGAACAGAGCTGCCCCCAGTGCAGAGGAGGTGAATCTTCTGGGCAGCCTTACCACTGCCCCCAGCAAGGAGGAGGTGAGCCTCATGAGCACCACCAGCACACACTCCCCCCCACCCCCGTGGAAATGAGAAGACATGAAAAGAAGTCTCAATACCAGACTTCCAGATCACCTAAAGCAACCCCAAAGGGAAACGAGATAGAACAATCTGATACTCAACCACCTGGAATCCCTGAACTGGCAACAAAAGAGGATCTGGGAAAAATGAAATCAGAAATAATTTCACAGATATCAGCAGAGGTTGTGTGCATAGTGCAAGACATGATTAATAAATCTAGAGAGGACACAGATAAAAGAGAGAGGGGCTGAGGAACATGATGGAATCCCAACATAGGAAACAAATGGAATCCAAAAAACAGATGCAAACAGATTTCCAGGAGATTAAAAACTCCATTGAAAGTTTATGCAGCAGACACACAGGTGTGCTGAGCGGGAAGACCCATGCTCCAATCAAGGGACTTTTAGTAGTGCCACTAAGCAAGCGCTGAGGAGTCAGCCCCATGTCATGTTTCTTGGGTGTTTTGTCTTGGTTTTTTGGGTCAGTATTTGGGATGGAGACATGCCAGGATGTGTCACAGTGCTGTCACCGTGCAGAAAGGTATATTTCCTCTTGGCACACAGTTGCACAGAAGTAAACATAAGCTTATTTTAACAGATTTTCTTTTCTTTTTTCTTACCCTTTATTTATTTAGTCCTCCATTGTGTGTTTTAAGTATTTCTTTTTTCTTTTTTTAAGGAAAGGAAAAGCTTGTCACAATCTAACTAGCTATGTTATTACTGTTAAATTTATGTTGTTTTGCAACTTAGAAACCAGCTGCAGTATGGCCCACTTAATAAAGCACATGAAACAACAACAAAAAAAGTTTGTGCAGCAGAATGACCCAATGTAAGGTCAGAATTTTAGATATAGAAGATAAGATTGCAATTAGTGACTAGGAAAAGAAAAATTTCTTTAAAATTGTTAGGGACAATGAGAAATCAATCCAGCAGCTGCTGGATGATGCAAAGAAGAATAACATTGCAATGATTGGACTCAACAAAGAAACAGGAGAGAGTGCAGATGACATAAAAAACTTTTCACAGAAGTGATGGCAGAAAACTTTCCAAGCAGGGGAAAAGAATTTGACATGCAGATAAGGGAGGCATATAGTACTCCAACTAGCCTTGATCAAAAAATAATCTATACATAGGCATATAATAGTTAAGATTCCAGAAACCCAACAGAAGAACAAAATTCTACAAGCAGTAAGAGAAAAGAAACATATCACATACAAAGGAAAGCCCATCAGAATCACAGCAGACTTCTCAATGCAAACCCTCAAGGCAAGAAGAGCTTGGAGTGATGTATTTCAAGCCCTAAAGGAAAAAACCTCCAACGCAGATTGATGTACCCTGCAAAACTATCTTTCAAAATTGATGGAGAAATAAGATACCTCCATGACAAAGACCACCTTAGAAACTTCATGAATACCAAACCAGCCCTCCAAAAAATTTTTGACAATATCCTAGGAAAAGACAATGAGGATCACAACTCCAGGAAGCCAGGAAGAATAAATCCATCAGGCACAACAAGAAGTTAAATGCAAAGGGGGAGAATCCAACACAAAGAAAAAGTCATGACAGTGATAAATCAATATATATCAGTTATAACCATCAATGTTAATTGTCTCAATTCACCAATCAAAAGAAATAGACTGGGAAAATGGGTGAAGAAGAAAGATCCAACAATATCCTGCATACAAGAAACACACTTAATTCAAAAAGCAACTCACAGACTGAAAGTTAAAGGATGGAAAACAATACTCCATGTGACAGGAACCCGATAAAAGCAGGAATAGCTATCCTCTTTGCAGATCAAGTGTATTTCAAACCAACACTGATTAAGAGAGACAAAGAAGGACACTACATCCTTGTAAAGGTGGAGGGGTTGAAGGGAGGGCAGAGGAATGGGGAAAAAACAACCAAGATGGATTATGTAAAGGTGCAAATTTCCAATGATGAATGTCAGTATATTGTATACCTAAAATGTACGAATATAATTATAAAAACACAATCGGATATAACAGTTCTAAATAGCCAGTACTTTCTGTTGCAGAAGCCAGGATTTGTAGAGAGTAGTCATTTTCTTCTAGGCTAAATCCCTAGCTTTGACTATCAAAAACCATAAAAGCTGCATGTAAGGTAGGACTTCATGAAGTGTCAATCTTATTCCATAGATAATAGCATGTTATCATTGTAGGGCAGAAGAAGAACATTTTCTCTCTCCAGCCACAAGAAACATCCCTGAGGAACATCTCAAAAGAGAGCAAAAGTGATGCAATGGTGCATGTTCTGGAGGGGACTGTGAGACTCATGGGCTGAATCTGTTTGAACTGGAGTAGAGGAAGGCAGCTGGAAGTCAGGTAAGTTGCAGAGGCCTTGAGAACAGTTAGGTGCTGGGTGTCAATTCCCATAACATACAGAAGACCCACAGAAGCCTTGAGAATTTTATACCAGCAGAAATGTGTACAGCTTGTACTGAGAGAGAATTACATAGAAGAAGGATGTTGGCCTTTAAATTGTTACTGGTGGTAAAGAAACTGGTGAAACTGCCCAGCTGCAAGCATGTACTCCCCTTTACAAACAAATAAGTATGACTCAGGGAAAACCCTCAATCTCAAAAGTTGAGTCTGTGATCTTAGAGGGAGGAGCCACAAGCCTTAGGGAATTATTCATAGGCCTTGAAACCTAAAGGAGTTTGCCCTCCTGGATTTCAGAATTACTTATCTCTTTCTAACATTTTTAAAAAATAGTAATGTTTATATCTACCACTTTGCTCTTCCAAGGATTATGTTTTGGGAGCAGACCACTTGCTTCTTGAGTTTCACAGGCCTCAGGATGGACTCCACCTAGAGACACTCTTACCTTATTTAGATGATTTGGATGCTGAGATTTGGGGCTTTTGAACTAATTTGAGTAGATGACGCTATGAACACAGAGTTTGTGGGTTGAAGCTTTGGGGCACTTTGGGATGAAGTACATGCATTTGCCCATGGGATGGGAATTGAGCTTTGTACAAAGGTGGAGTGTGGTAAGCTGAATAACGACTCCTTAAAGATATCAATAGTCTAATCCCTGGAACCACTGGCTCTGTCACCTGACGTGCAGGGAGATGCAGATCTGATTAAGTCAGGATGCATACTGAGACACTGTCCTGGATTGTCACCATGGCCACAATCAAATCACATGGCTTCTTGTAAGCAGAGATGATTTTCTGACCTTGATCAGAAACAGATGTGATGATGAGAAGCAAGGAAGAGAGGTACTTTGTGGCTGGCTTTGAAGATGCCACAAGCCAAGGAATGAAGATAGACAACAGGAGCTAGAAAAGGCAAGGAAATGGGATCTCTCCTATGGTGTGCAGAAACAGATGCTGCCTGTTAACATCTTGATTTTAACCTAGTAAGGCCCACTTTGGACTTCTGATCCCAGAACTATAAGATAAGTAAATTTGTGTATTTTAAGCCATTGTGTTTGCAGTAATTTATGACAGTCATTAAAAAGGAATACAGTACTAAGATATTTTCATAGGATCCTATCTTCTAAAAAGCAGGTAAAAACCATCACTAGAGACTTTTGGAACAGGGAAAGATTCTAATCAAAGACTCCATGGAGTAGTAAATAGCCTTCAAGGTTGCTACCAGTCATGGTCAACAGGGACTTTCTAGTGTGATCAAAGACTTGGGTAGATATGTGGATGCAGAAGGACAATCAGCAGCTGTCTGGGCGTCATCCATTAAGTAGGCCAGGCACTTCCTTCCTGCTGCTTGGTGACTCTTAGTTACTGTACCTCTGGGTCCAGAGACCTCAAAGTATGTTGCAGTCAGAGTTCTTAAATCAGTCTGTTCCTTTTCATCACCCTTGGGAGGCTCAGTGATTTTTATGCACACAGCAGAGCCCCATATCAACTATTACATCCTGAAATATCTCGGTTGGTCTCAGTTTCTTTGTCAGCTTCCTGAATGACCTTGGGCAAATCACCGTTCATTTCCTGATCTCCTGGGTTTTGCTTTCTTCTTTAAAATGATAGAAATATCTTAGTTCCCCCCAACTTTTATGGTCACTTTCACACCTGCTTGCATGTTCTAAAATTCTATTAGGATGAATTAGGAACCTAGTGAAAGGCTTTGAACTTTTCTATAGAGCGATTCTCAACTTCTTTAGGAGGCAGAGCAATTGGGAGGCATGGAACTCTAAGAACACCATGAGATACTGATATAATTAACTCTGGGATATTCAAAGGAATAGTTTTACTTCCCGACAATATGACAATCTCCATACAAAGTAAAAACCACACCCTTTTCATGGACCATGAAAAGAACAAACTGTTGATCTTCATGACTGGCTGTTTTTGAATTTTTCTGGTCATATTTGTCTGCTGGTTGATCACTTATTTTTCAACTGTCAGTACTTTTGGTAGCAGATGTCTAAAATGTAAGAAAGATGTATCTGGGAAGAAAACTTAACTGAAAAAAATGTGATCTAAAATGATTTTTTTCTAAGAATTGAAAAACAGTATCATTCTTTGACTTCATGGCAGAGTGGCTCAGTCAAGCCCATAGAGACCTGGCCAGCAATAAGGGGTGTTGAAGAACTCTCATGCAGTGAGTAGTAAGGAGATTCCTGAGGGGAAAAGCCACTCCCATTCTGCTTTGTATTCTTGAACATATTTAAATTTTGTTGTCTCTTCTTACTGTTTAATAATACCTGATACTTAGCGCACACTTAGCTATTTTTTCAGATGCTGTGCTTAGACTTGAGTCCGTATCGGGGTACTAACATTAGGGTCCTAGTCTTTCAGACAGACAGTGACTCTCACACAGTATCCTATCAAGGTTATACAGCTGGCAGGCAAGAGAGCCAGGACCCAAACCTCAGGCTTGATTGTACAGCTTGATCCCAGAGTGCTGAACCATCTCTCTCTCCCTAACCCTAAACCCAGTCCTTTCTTCCTCCTGTGTGTGAAGACACTCTCTGGTTCTACCTCCAACTCCAGGATGCACTGGGCTTTCCAAGCCTGACATGCTCAAGCCACTTACTGTGCGCCTGGGTCTCTGCTGTCTGTCCTCAGAGTCTGAGACTTCTAAGTTGGTCCCTGGCAGCTCCTGGGTAACTAAATACTCTATGGCCTCCTGGGTCATGTTATGAACTGAAGAACAGTGCAGAGGAGCAGACCAAGAGCCAGCATTTGCTGTAGGGACCCCCTCCTGCTCTTTGTTTTCTGGTACCAGGGATGGAACTCAGGACCTTGCGCTTGAGAGTCGAACACGGCATCACTGAGCACAATCCCCGGTCTCCTGCACTTTACCTGGGTGACTTGGTTTCAGCTCACACATCAACTTTCAGAGTTGTTCCGGATCCTACCATCTGGCAATTGTCTTTCTTTCTCCATGCCACTCTATTATTTTTCCTTCCCTTAACGGAAAGTGCTTGCCTTCTTGTGTATTGTCTGATCCTTCTCTTCAAGAGTGAAAACTTTAGGAGGGCAGAAACCTTAGTGCCTTCAGGAATGATTGCCATATAAAGCAGTTTGTGGAAGAAATGCATGAATAAGTATTCTGAAATGTTTTTGAGATTCTTTTTTCAGTAACTAAATATTGAGTATCTGCTTTCTGTTGAACATGGTTCTGTCATCAGTGTACTGGTGAGCACTGTAAAATGGACTAATTTTTAAAAATATCGAGTCTATATGTTTAGATAATCATCTGTCCATTTGATCAAAATTCAGGTGACTATATATCTGGGCTTGCCTTTCTCCATGCTTCTGTCCTGAGACAAGTATCAAAAATACCCTGGTTTAGATAATAAATTGTATGGTCAGTCAAGTTCAAGTTGATGTATGAACACAATGCAAACTAGTAACAAGTACAATCCTGGTAGGCACAGTACTGTTGTGCACAGTATTCGTGATTTGATGTTGCAAGTGATGGTGAAAGCATTTCATAGTACAGAACACAGCCTCAGGTGTGGTGGGATCCAGACCTCACCTCCAAGTTGTCCCCTCATCCCTGGGCAACTCCCGGCTCATCTTTCTGCAGAAACAAGCAGAGCCTTTCCCAGAGCACGTGTGCAAACCTGGTCATTCATTCTGAGCAGTCCACTTTGGTCACATCCTCTTTGTTCACCCTCAGGGAAACACGGGGAGCAAATGGGCTGAGGTATGGGTTATACTTTCCATGCTTGTACCTGAAAATGGAGCCCTGTCAACGGGTTGGAGGACCTGAAGGTCTAAAAATGTAAATCAAGGAATTTCTCAGAAAGGAGAAGGGCTCACAATATGGGCAGGGAACCTGTGGTGTCCTCTGCACCATGTGTAACAAGTGTGTGTTCTTGGACCGCTCAATTATCTTACTGAACTTGAGGAGTGACTTCAACCAAACAACTGTGTATCTGGACAACCAATTTCTTAGATTCCTATTTTATAGATCTAAATGAAGTTTTATTCTTCCATCCCTTCACTACGTTGTGTTAATTCCTTACTGTCCTCACAAGCATACAGCACACACACACTTCAGTACAGTATATTCATTTACACTCATTCACTCAGTCATGACACCACCAAGGGCAGATATTCAGGTTCTGCCCTGCATTGTCCAGTTGTGAGTTGATGCAAGTTGTGCAATATGTGGCCCTAAATAGCCCTCATAGAAACTCTTTGTACATGAGGAAAATGGTCTTTCGACATTTAAATGACTTTCCCAAGGTCATCCTCTAAGCCCTATAGTCTTTTCCTAGAGAAACTAGACAACTCAAAGAAGTGTGCATAGTAAGTGTTCTTACACCTACCATATCTGGAATGACACAATCGCTTTTTATTATGAAATCTTCCCCATGCCTTTAAGTAAACATTCTATGGAAGCCTTGGAATTTATAATAAGGTGCTCTCAGTTTTCCTCTTATATTTAGACAGATTAAGGAAAAACAGATTAAAAAACTCAGTGTAAATTTGTAGTGTTTATACCCTTAGGTGGAGAGGAAGTCCGCAGATGTGACTCATTCTATGAGCAGGTATGAAAGCACTGGAGTGTATGAATTTTTCTTGCGTCTCTTTGTTCCCAATCTTAGCCATTTCATGGTTTCCAAATCAAACATGGAAAGAGAACTGAGAATTTAGAGTAGTAGCTCTTGAAGTTTAGTGCCCTTAATAATCATTTTGGGTGCTTGTTAAAAATACAAATTTCCAGCCTTCATTCCAGGAGGTTCTGATTCAATAAGGATCTGAAATCTGCATTTTAAATAAGCCCCCTGGTGACTGTGATGTGGAGCTTCTACAAACATTATTTAAGAAATAGAGGTTTGAAATACAATTTTCCAATAAAAATGAGACAAGGCACTCTCCTTTTCTGCATACATTTAATACTCATTGAATACTAGATGCTAATAATGGTCAGTCCTGGGAATGCATAGCTTTTGGATTTCCAGAACAGCCTGTCATTTTCTTGTCCGTGTTCACACTGGTGACTATTTGGAAGCAGCATCCCTTTTAAAAGCAGATAACTGCGCAAAG